TGTGTACCTGTACCTTTGGGTCTAGGCCTTGCACTTGTAAGGCCTCTTTATCAAAACGGTCTAGGAAGGACCTGAGGGACTCGCCAGAATGCTGTCGGACCTTCTCAAGGGTGTGCACAGATTTTGGCACGGGGCGGCTAGTTGCAAAATGGGACTGGAACTTGCTTGCTAAATCGCCCCAGGACGCAATGCTGCCTGTTGGCAGGGTGGTGTACCAAGTCAGAGCTCTCCCTCCCAACAGTGTTGGGAAAGTTCTGCACATGAGTAGATCCGTTTCGCCATGGAGTGTCATTGCTTCTTCGAATTTTTGGATCCACTCAAAAGGATCCGTATCGCCAACATATGTGGCGATGTTAGATGGACCCTTGAAACCGAGGGGTATGGGAGTTAGTCTCAAGTTGTCGGTCAAAGGCTTGTTACGCCCTGACGTGTGAGCAGACGTTATTCTGATATGTTGATCTTGTTGTGGTCGAGGTATTTGTGGGGCTTCCACAGAGTATGAGAGGGCTTGGGCTTGGTGGAAAGCTTGTTGAGTGCCATATGATTGTTGATTGGGATCCGGACAAGATGCCAGAGGTTGTGGAACGGCTATGTTATGGGGCTGCATGGCGTAACCATGGAAAGGGAAACCAGCTTGGTGAGGTAGTTGAAAAGGGATAGCCATGTTATGTGTTTATGGCCTAGGAGGGTATGGGGCGATCATGGGTACCCGACGGTCGTTGTATACTGGCAGTGGTTGTCTTTGGGCTGGTAGTGGAGGATGGGCGAGATGGGCAGTTCATGGAACAGCTGCTGGAAATGGCATTCCAAAATGAACGTACAGCCTCATATTGCATCCAAGACTTCCTCAGGGCCATTCGACGCTCAAAGTTATTTCCAGTAGAGAATACTCCAATCAACAAAACAAGTCCTTTTTTGGGGATAGAGGGAGCCTTCAGTTTCTCAACATCAACAACTGCATTATAATTTCAGTAACAGGTAAGCCTTTAGCCAGGACTGATAAGAGACTTAAATTGCCTGCTACTTTAATGCTGCTGATTAGCCATGGTTCAAGCTTCTGCATCCACAAAAACTGTACAAGGTTGGATTGACAATTACTATTAACTTTTTTTATTTTTAGCAGGGTAGCAAGGCTTAGGGGGCATTTTTTAAAAATAAGGTTATTTTCGTAAAAGTACATTTTTTTCCCATCTATATTTTCCCAAAAGCCAAACATAGACTTTACAAAAGTTACCTAATTTTCCCGGTAAATTTTTTTTGGACTAAACTACTTTTTTTTACATTTTCCTACCAAACTCAATTCCCAACCATTTCCTTACTAATCACATTTCCCTATGGTTCATATAAATTTCTCTTCAACCAAACGCCCCCTAAAGGAAATTTTGAAAATCCCACTATAATCACTTATTCTCTCTCTAAAATTTTAAATTAGTTATATCCTTATTTTAATTTTTTTTATCATTTATTCTCCATCTTAATTTTCCATCTAAAAATAAAGTTAACAGAGTTAACTTTTTGAAAAATACTTTAATTACCCATAAAATAAAACAAAATAACAACATAGAGGAACCTTTTATGTCTTAAGGTTGCGACTTGCGTTGCCTTGTCTTCTTCTGATGCGTTGTAGCCTTCTTCTTTGTCACGGTAGAGGAAGAGAAAGAATGCAAAACACATCATTACAAACTTGCAGGCTACAGTGTCGGTGACCAATCTGTACTCTGTCTTTGAGCCTACATCGTGGATGAGTAACTTATGAAGGCTTCAGGTTCGAAGGTTAGTGTCGGCAAGCGATAGGTCGAAATTGAGATGAGATGGTGACTGTAGAAGGAAGTGTTAAGGTTGATTTTAGATTGAATATTATATTTTTATCTAATTGACTACATATAATTAATTGGGTTTGATATTTGTGGTCGTAAAAGACATAGATTTATGTCATTTTAAGAGAGAAAAAGATACAAATAATAAAAATTATAAAAGAAAAAGTGAGTGCTTTTTATTTTTATTTAAATTTTAATTGAAAAAATATTAATTTATATATATTTTTTAAAATAACATAACTTTATGTCAGATAAATATTTTTTCTAATTAAAATAATCCAATAGGATCTTATCAAGCCAACTGAAGTATAATCAGTTTATCTGATAATCATAAAATAAAAATGAACTTACCTAGTGTCTGTTTGGATCCTCTTTTTTTAAGCTAGAAGCTCCTTATAAGCATAAGCTAGGCCAAACAAGTTTTGGGAAAAGCTTTTATAACGAAAAACTCTTTTTTTTTTTTATAATGAAAAAAAAGCTGAAAACTAAAAGTTTCTAAGAGGAGCTTTTTTTTAAGCTCTTAACTGTTTTTCTTGAATTGTGTGCTTTTTTTTAAATGAAGAGTGATAAAGATAGAGAGAGATAATTTTCTTGAAATATGTGCTTTTAAGTCATTTTTAAGCTAAAACTTTTATGTAATTTCCAAACAGCTTCTAGCTTCTTTTTTTAAGCTCTTTTTTTTAGCTTTAGCTTATAAGTAGCTTCTAGGTTAAAAATAAGAGGATCCAAATAGGCTTCTAATAACATTAGGGGAATATTACTCTCATGTTGCATGAGAGTAGTTCTCTCATGCTACAGAGAGAATTCAAGTGGGTCCACCATTAAAAAGCAAAAAAGAAAAAAGAGGTGGTGCGATTTTCGAAGTGAGAGAAAATGAGATAACTATCTCATGTAAAATGAGAGTATTATTTTCCATAAGATTATCGTATCAAGTGTCACATTAAAGGTACGTACGATAAAAATAGTTTATATATAATATAAGAGATTATTATTTGTCATATTATATGAGATAATTTATCTCATGCAACATATAAAAAAATGAGTATAATCCACTTATTTTTCTCTCTCTTTTAAGTGGATCTTATTCATTTTTGTGTTTGTTGTAAGCAGTGGCGAACACAAATTTTTTTATTTATGTGTACATATTTAGTCCAATATTTAATGGAGGGAGTTTGGGGTAGTGCCTCTGAAAAAAAATTAAACAAAGTTTTAAATGCATTAAAAAGTTAAAGAATATAAACAAAAAAAGGGATTTATATCACTTACATTACATGAACCAATTTTTTGTTATGTTAAGAAAAAGACAAGACCAATTCATTGAATAATGTGTCATTTAACTTTCTTTAATGAGGTTTAATTTTCTCATGTTGCATGAGAATTAAATTCTCATGTTGTGACTCAACTAGTGGTAGACCCCACATGTATTAAAAAAAGAAAAAGAAAAGAAAAGCTTTGCACGCAAATCGAAGGGTCACAACATGAGAAAATATTTTTCCTTCTTTAATATTATATAACTTGTCTTTTTCTTAATATGACAAAAAAAAATTTCATATAATACGAGGGATATAATCCTCAAACAACAAAAGAAAAGAAAATTTTGGCTTAACATAAAAAAATATAATTAACTTAAGGGGAATGTGTATATAATTTTGAAGGACATAAAGTTGTGTCATTTTAAGTGAGAGAAAGAGATAAATCATAGAAGAGAGAATAGGTGAATTTTTTTTTAAAGATGTGGGTCCCAGCTACTATAAAATTGTTGCTTGAGTGACATTTCTAATTAATTAAAAAATATATATCTTCTTTACTAAAAAATGTATGACCAAATTTATGTGTGCACTTGCACACATTGACAACCAAATAGGTCGATCAATGGTTGTAAGAGATTAATTATCTCATATAACATAAGAGACAATATCCCAAAACATAAACTAATTAATACTATCAAGTCTTGCCGGCCATATGTACCAAACAGAGCTTAATATAATAACGTATGCTACATTAGACATACCTTGCGACATGAAGTCGATAAGCAAATTAAGTTTAGATGCATACACTTTTCTTGCACATATATATTAAAATAAGCTAGTCATATACATACATAGGCTCTTGCAAAAAGAAAAAAAATAAATGTGATTTAGTGTATGTTTTAATTTTTATTTTCATTTCTAGTTGTATGGTTTTATTAATATTATTATTATTGATAAACTTATGGTTTTATTATTAATTATGAAAACATCATCCTATTTTTAATTTTGAAACTTTTAATGAAAATGATGATGGAAACAACTAAAGTTATTTTCTATCACCTCCTTTTTATATATAAAATTTAAAAAAGAAACCAAATAAAAATAATGTCACATTTTATTATTTATTAATAAAAATATACTAAGTAAAAATAAAAAAAATAAAAATCAAACGTCACCTTTTTGACAAAATTAGTGCATTTATTTAATGATAAAAAATAAAATGTGACTATAAAATTTTTTGTATGAATAAAATTAAATTATAATGTCAATTGTTTTATTTATTTTATTTAAAAAAAAAAAAAAGACACGTCCATGCATCAAAAGAAGCAAATGCCTCGGAGTTTTGGTGTCGAAAAACTTAAAATAAGTTGGTTGTGATTTACATATTAATTTTTATTACTAAGTGTAATCTCAAGTAAATAAAAACTTTTCGTCTATAACGTGGTATTTGAAGGAAATTGGGGGTACGTGGCGCTGTGTTGTTGATTACAGCTAATATGAATGCAGAAAGGCAGGGGTCACAGTCCGCGGAAAACGATGGTTTGAATCCCTGATAATATTAAAAGTAAATGAAAAAATTAATGTCGAACACACATATTAATGCAATGATCAAACTCAAAAGTGATGTGAATTAAAGATTTTTCTTCAGTATTAATATATATATATATTATTTTATTTTTTCTGCGCCAAAATTTGTAATGCAAGAGAGAAAGAAATACATATATAAACAAAGTAGAGAAAATTTATTAGATGGTATATATGGATAGGGGACACGTAGTAACACAAATGAAAAAGGACGGCGCCAAATCCATTTGACTTCTCCTTTTTCTTACCCTTCATCTCCTTAATCGCTATTTATACAACAAGCAAATATGTGCCATACAAAATATAACCCCTTTTCTCTCTTTCTTTATTTTCTCACGTCTCCAAAACTTCTCCCACTTTTTCTATCATCTGTTTCACGCAAGCTCATTTGAGCAAGTAGCTTAATTAGCTCAACTAGTTCAAAGCTTTAATTAGATTATCCAAGAGAAACTACCTAGCTAGCTAGCTAGCACGCACTGCCATGGGGAGAACACCTTGTTGTGAGAAGAATGGCCTCAAGAAAGGACCCTGGACACCAGAAGAAGACCAGAAACTTATTGATTACATTCAGAAACATGGGTATGGCACATGGAGAACACTCCCAAAAAATGCTGGTATGTTACGTATCTTTCATTTTTTTGTACCAAAAGTGAACATTAGTCATAAAACACATAAAATTATGGTTCTTTTTTTCTGTACTTTAACAAAAGTTAACTGAATGTTTTTTTTTTTTTGCTTATTTTATTTGAATAGGATTGCAAAGGTGTGGAAAGAGTTGCCGTCTTCGTTGGACAAACTATCTCCGACCAGATATAAAGCGAGGTCGATTCTCATTTGAAGAGGAGGAGACGATAATTCAGCTACATAGCATTCTTGGTAACAAGTATGGCTCTTGGTTTCTTTTTTCTATTTTTTTTCCCATTTTTTTTTTTGGTCATTTGGTTTGATTGTGTTATTTTGGGTCATAATCCAAGTGTGAATAGCAAAGTTCAATACCTTAAAATTTTGAGTTAAGATATTATATATATATCTTAGCTCATATAATGATAGATCTCCACCTAACCCTAAAACATCTTGAAGTAATTCTCCCAACACCATTTTCTTCCTTCCTAGAACTTCCAATCAATTTTTAAAATATACATATATATATATATATATAACAGGGCATAAGTCAAATGTTATTATTCATTAAAATGCTGAATTTAACTTTGTATTATTGGAATATTGTCTAGGTGGTCTGCAATTGCTTCTCGTCTACCAGGAAGGACAGACAATGAAATCAAGAATTATTGGAACACCCACATTAGAAAAAGGCTTATAAGGATGGGAATTGATCCTGTGACACATAGCCCACGGCTTGATCTTTTGGACCTCTCTTCAATTCTAAGTTCATCTCTTTATGGCTCATCACAAATGAACAACATCCAAAGGCTGCTTGGTACACAGTCAATGGTGAACCCTGAGCTTCTGAAGTTAGCTTCATCACTCTTCTCCACTCAGCAACATGAGAACCTCAACATCTGTGATCAAAATGGTACCCAAGAGAACCAGCTCTGTAATCCTCAAATTCAGAACCAAATCCCACACTACGTACAAATTCAGGACTCGGTTCTAGAAGCTTCTGGAGCAGCTTGCAGCACATTGACCACCCCTTGTGTTTCTTTGTCTACCACTCAAGCCGAAATGGTTGAATCAAATGTGAACACATACCCATCAATTTTCACCGACTTTGGCTCCCAACAACATTCTCAGCCAAGTGATTGGCATTGCAATGGAAATTCTTCAAGCACTGTGAAAGACTATTATGTCCCTCAATTTCCGAACTATAATTATTATAGTTATGATCATCATGCAAATCTTATGGACACTCCATTGTCCGAAAACTCCACTTTACTTTCCAATAATAGCAACCAGAACTTAAACTTCGGTTCAGTTCTATCGACGCCTTCGTCAGGCCCCACACCGTTGAATTCGAACTCAACTTATATCAGCACCGAGGATGAAACTGAAAGCTATGTCAGCAGCAACATATTGAAATTTGAAATCCCTGATATTTTAGGTGTAAATGAGTTCATGTAATGTGATCAAAACAAAATTGAGTCAACCAAAAGGTTGATCATTTCCTCGTATCCATGGTGTTGATCATGTAACATTTTCTACATTTTTATTAATATTGATATTTTGACTTTGTTCATTGAGGCTTTGGCTGTGTTAGGAAGTAGCAACGTCCTTATCTTTTTTCCAATTATTTATTTAAAGTTTCAATTATTGCTATGATATCGTGCATATGTCTGTTTTCCTCCTAAGATTAACACCCCAGTTACATATATTAATCGGATTACTTAAACAAAGCATTAAACCAAAACCAATTACGTCACTCCAACGCAAGATCGACAAGAGTATTATGCTCAAAATAGAAATAAACAAATATAAAATTAAAAAGCCAAAGTAATAATATATATATATAGGTAAAATCATTTATGCAGCCGCTTTACGTACAGCAACGACATGTGTATGGTTATGATTTCTTACATTTAATGCTTTCATCCTTTGTATGGTTATGATTCTTTGCATTTAATGCTTTTAAGTATATATATGACAAATATTTGATTGTTATATGTACAGCAGCTGCAAAAATATAAATCTCATATATATATATATATATATATATATATATATATTGGGGAATAAATAACTTACATCACTATAATTTTATATTCATTATTGGTTGCTGATTTCACTTACATCTAATTTAGCTTTAATTTATTAGTCATTTGAGCGATTAAATGCAAATGAAATTAACTACTAATATTGCATTTACGGCTCAAATTTTATTCTCCTCCTAAATATAGAGGTTTTGCATTCAAATAACCATTATTGTTTGTGGAGCACACCAAAGCATGGGCACGCTTCATTTTCAAAATTTTGCGTGTCGGACACGTGTCCGACATGGACACGCTTCGACACGTGGTCAATATTTGGAAGCATGCAGTCAATTTTTCGACAAGTTTTTTCGACACGCAGTCAATTTTTTTCAACATGCAGTCAACGCTTGGACACGCTCGGACACTTTTTTTTTTTTTTAAATCTTAATTTTATTTTGTTAACTAAAAATAAAAGAAATAATTTATAAATTAACTTTTTTCTGTTATGAAATTTGACATAAGAAATTAACAAAATATGAAAAATTATTTATATTTATATTTATGTTATGAAATTTAAATATTTGATTGGTTATATGACTTATTATGGACTCTTATATGTATTAAATATAAATTATATTATATATATTAAATTTTTTATTTAATATCAAAACGTGTCATACCGTGTCAAAATATGACATTTTTTAGAATTAACGTGTCGGCGTGTCGTGTCATGCCCTGTGTCCGTGCATCATAGGAGGAGCATATATAAAACCGAGGGGGGTGCTTAATATTCTTGTGGGTCTCGTCAAGTTTATTTTATTTTTATTTCGTTTTTAGTTGTTTGAACATAGGCTCGAGCTCATGAATATTTATTATTGGCAAGAGATTCTAAACTTGTTTATATTGATTTTTTAAATTAGGTGCTTTGAAACTAGTGCAGTAAAAAGAATATAGTGCATATTACTGGACGTAGTTCACATCGAATGAATTAGGACAAGTTTATATTTCTGCTTTTTTATTTTATTTTTATTTACAATTGTGTATATAATTGTTAGGTGTCAATGAATGGGTTCGGTGTTTGTCATTTTAAATGACATAAGTTATGTCATTTTAGGAGAGAGATAGACACAGAAAAACGGAGATCATGAGAGAGAGAGAAAGTAAGTGATTTTTTTAATTTAAAATTCAAATTTTCTGTGTCTGTATCTCTCTTAAAATAACACAACTTTCTGTCATTTAAAATGACAAACACTTTTTACTTAAATAATTGATATGCAAATTTATTTTTCTATAGAATGTACATTTTATATAATATTCTCTTTACTTTTCTCTTTATTTTTCTCCTGTTATTCTAATATTTACTTGGATTTGGACAACTTTGATTTAGAAATAAATTAAGAAAGAAAAGAGTAAAATTGAAAGTGAAGGGGAGAAAGGGAAGGAAAGGAAATAAGCATTTTAGAAGCAATGACGAGGAAGGCAAGATTAGTGGTTTCAGAGATTCCGACAGAGTCCAAGATGCCGGCAAGGTGGCCGGAGATGGGACGCCGGAGCACGTGAGTTCAACACCTGTCCCGGACACCTGTACAACGTAGCTGTCTTTTCACGTACACTGAAAAGGAATAAAGTAATATAGTATATGACTTTGCATGGGGGGCTTTGACCAGAACACTCGTGGGTACGTGGCCATGCACAAGCGGTGACACTGCAATTTGTGGGGCCCACCAATCTAGCGGGGTTGCTTTTCCTATTAAAAATCATGGCGTGCTTCTTGTGCTGTTTTTGATTTTGTTTTCCTGGAGGGTTTGAATTAAGTGGGTAGATACTATTAATTGCGTCAGCAATGGGGACACGTGGCCTCAATAATTCAGTAGGGGGCCCGGTTTGGGTAACTGGTTGACTCGGTGAACGGGAAAGTCTTATCCAGTTTGAATCGACTATTGAAAAGGACGCTGTCGCAGGAACTCTGTGTACCACCACCACACGCAGTATTGTTTTCAGGCTTTTAAGCCGTTTCTTGCCACCGCGGTTTAGTGACATTAGTGTCCTTTTTTTCTTTTTTACTAAAATGATGACAGTAAATTTAAGAAAACAATTTTAAATATTCTTAACTAAATACTTAATAGTAATCGGATTGAATTAGCTTTCCACATAGTTAAAATCACATTGAAGCGGGAAAAGATGTCTATTTTGTTTGAGGAGCAAATCTTCACTTGATTATGAAGTAACAAATAAGGGGAAGGTTATACTTATCATCTATTTTTGTTTATACTTATCACCTATTTTGTTTATAACTTTTACAACTATATTTTAACTGTTGATTTCCGTCAATCAACGGTTATCATTTATTACAAATTAATAATTAATTAATAAATTTAATTTGCAAAAATCTTAACCGTTGATTAACAGAAATCAACGGTTAAAATATAGTTGTAAGATGTTGTAAACAAAAATAGGTGGTAAATATGTTATCAAAAAAAAAAAAAAGATAGTAAATATAACCTCCCCAACAAATAATTATTTCAATAATATTCTAAATCACGTGAAACGCGTACAACCAATCTTATATAAAAATAAGTTTTGAAATTTTAATTTATATATACAATAATTTTCTTGATTAGAAAATAAATAAAATACTAAATATATTTTAATTTTAAAATATTAAATATTTATTTTTTCATTTAATGCTTTATTTATTAAGTGAATTGTTGGTGTGATGAAAATAATGGGTTTGTTTCTAATGTGATTTTGGCAAGTGTACCAGTCGTACAAGTAATAAAATGATAAAAGTAGGGTTATCGATTTCACGAGAATTAATTTATCAAGCAATAATTTATTTATATAATTAAAGTTGGGTCGATCTTGGAAATGCATTTGTTGAGAATATTAATTTAATTATAAAAATAAAATATTTTTAATTCTTAATATTAAGAAATGAAGAACATAATTCAAGAATGAAAAACGCAAGAAATATTTTAACCTTTAATTAAAGACGAGCGTAGCTTGGTATTCGACTTCTCTAATATTTTCCTAACGAGTCTAATCTTTCATGCAATTAACATTCAAAATCAATTATTGACAATCCTTTCTAATTTAACTGAATCCCTAATCTCTTGGTGGTTTCAGTTCTTTACTCTATTTCAATGCTCTAATCCCTTATGGCCTTTCTCTAAAGCAAGCTTTAAAGTTAAGAATTATGCGTCATAGAATTTGTAAGACTATTCCTAGAACATACAAACTCTAGTAATTAATCAAACGGAATCAAGAAAGCAATATTCCTATTAACATGCAAGATTCTAATGCCCATTCAAGATTGGTCATATTATAAACGAGTCTAGAAATTTAAAACAGATTAATTGCATAATTGAAACATGAAAAATAATTACAAGAATGATTAAACAACGTTCTGAAACCCATTGGTTCTGTCTCGCCCTAACTATATAAAATGAATTGTCTAAAATGTTCAAGAAAACAAGAACAATAGATAAAAGAAAAAGAGAATTCATGATAAAACCAAGTTAAAGATGATCCAATAGTGAAGCTTTGAGTTGTTGTTCTTCCTTCTTTTTTCCAAGAGCTCTCATTTGCTTCCTCTTCAGGTCTCTGGCTGCGTGAATCACCCTCAAAAACTCTAATTGCATCTCTTTCAAAGAAATAAAATTGGACTTTTATTTTGGACCAGACTCGCTGAGGAGCTCGCTAAAGCAAGCTGCTCAGCGAGCAAATATATATATATATATATATATATATTTTGTAAATATAGCGAGTAAATTTTAACTCCTCGCTTACATTGCTTGCTCTAGCGAGCTGCAGAGCGAGGGAACGTGAATCAGAGAAATATCCTCGCTGGGCTTGTTCGCTCTAGCGAGCAAGAATTAATTCTGATTAATTCTTTATTTTTCTTGATCTTTATTCTTTGCAACTGTCTTTATCCTTTAGTAATTGTAATTATTATTTTATACCTGAAACAAGATGAAAAAGATATCAAAGTCATATCAAGTATGAAAACTTTATAATCTTTTGCATTTATTAATTTATACTATATTCTTTATCATATATTTATCTTTATTTAACATAATTTTGCTCTTAGAAACGTAGTTTCTTTAACACTCGTTAGTTTCTCTAATTGGGATAATATAACAGTGATGAGGCAAAGCTATGCACCTAGACTCAATGGAAAGTCATCTTGAGTATATCTTAGGCAAAGACTGAGAATCAAGGGGAGATGAAAAGCGTTGTGGCTCTCTGAGGTGATATTAAGGCAAAGTGATTGATTGAGTATGCAAAAAGTGTCTTTTCGATGACAGAAAATATATATATCTTATAGGTAAAATTATTTATGTAGCCATTTTACGTACAGCAATGACATGTGTATGATTATGATTCTCTATATTTAATGCTTTCATTCTTTGTATGATTATGATTTCCTGCATTTAATGTTTTTAAGTATATATATATATATTAAGTATTTAATTGTTGCACGTACATCTCTGTAG